TGTGTCCATTGTGAAACAGGGCGGGTATGTTAGTCCTGTTGACGCCGCTGGAGTACTTGCTAGCTTCGCTGCTGTACAGGAAAGAAGCGATGAGCTTGTTCACATCTGCACGCAGCTATTGGCCGCCCACTGCGATGCTCTTGACGGGGCAACCTTGGTGCAGACTCTTTGGGCCTGCACTGTGCTCAACGTGCGGAATGAAGCCCAGCAGTCCCTGATGGAGTACGCCAAGGGCGATGCGTCAAGGATCCCCAGCGAGGAAGCAGCAGCGAGGCAGTCGAGGCAGGCTCTTGAGCGTCTTCAATACGTAAAGAAGGCCTATGGCTTGGCAGGGCCGCAGCCGCAGGGATCTTTGTAACGGAAGAAAGCAAGAAGGAGGAGGGAGGGAGTAACAACAACAACAACATAAAAGGATGAAAGGAAACGGCCAGACCGGAGCCAGTAATATTAGGACAGAAGGAAAAGAACGAGAAGAAGGGTATATGTTTACCTGAGAGGAATGGGGGCGCTCTTTAAATTACATTGCTGCGGTTTTGTAAACATTGTCTACGCTTTCTGGATTCTCTTCAACGGTTTTTTTTTTTTTTTAGTGCTGCTTCCTTCTTGTTTTTGTAAAGGGTAGCGGCCTAATTTGCGTTTATGTACCGCGAGAGTTTGTTTGGCGTTGCTCTGGCGGCGACGCTGGCGGAGTTGGACTCCGTCTGTAGTCTCAGCGAAGGGCAAAAGGAGGAGTTGTGGGACATTTTTGACATTGCTATGGAACGAGCGCTGGCGGAGTCACCCGTCACGTCGCAGGTGCGTGTGTTCTCACCATCTCCATCGATTCAGGAGAGGAATAATAGAATGGATGGTGACGGTGGTGGCGTTGCGGCGGCTCCGGCTGCGCTCTCTACCAAACCCACACGCATGGTGTTCCCTGCGAATTCATTACCACAATGCTCACCAACGACGTCGCTTGCTTGCTGTGAGGTGTTGGACGAGGGTGTGACGTACCCTGTCTACCGTGTACATGACGGCATGTGGACCATTCTTCTTAAGGATCCCACTGTGGAGGTAAAGGACGGTGCCGGACGCACCGAGACAATTCACCTCGACTACCTCAAGGTGCACCTCAGGGATGTCTCCCTTAAAGAGAGCGTCAAAACAAAAGCGACTAGAAAAAAGCGACGCCGCTAAATTTCAATTTACACAAGAAAGACAAAAATAAATAGATTCTTTGCGTGGAGCTATTTGCTGGATGCTCTTTGACGCAAAGTAACCATAACTTACGGCTTTGTTGGTCGTTCAATGGATCCTTCCTTAATTATCCCCTCATCATCGCCCCCACTTTTTTTTTTTTTTTTTTTACTTTCTTCTTGGGCTTCTATTTCTACCCGTGTTGGCGGAGTTGTTGTTTGCTGCGCACAGCAATTACATTTTTGCTCCAAGGTGGGAAGGGAAGTAGAAGTACGAGCGGAACACACAGAGACGGATTGCGACTCCGGGAGGTGGAAATGTATGGCGACGGGGACCGGAAGACCATCTCGGAGCTGCGGCGAGATGCCGCGGCCGTGCAGAGGCGTATTCTTGACCAGACTGTCCAGCTTCAGCGGGTGCAGAACGCCACGGCGAGGGCCAGAAGTTTGATAGACCAGTTACTTCGTCTCTTTGCAACTGAGGTGAAGGAGAATGATAGAGACGCCCTGTTTGCTGTTCTTGCATCCATCTCGGAGGATCTGGACTTTTCTAATGTCCCGCTAATTCCCATTGCCATTGCGCTCGCAAACGATCATTTCAGCAATGTCAAACGTATTCGCGCCGTGCGGAACCGGTTTTTGGATGACAATTCTGTTATCTTTTTGGCGCACGTCTTGCGTTTTTCACCGTCGCTATCGCAGGTGGAGCTGCTTGACATCAGTGGAACGAGAGTGACGGAGAAGGGCCTTTTTTTTCTTCTTGAAATGATGGAGGAGCGGGAGACGCCGTTCGCCCTCATCGCGAAGGATCGTGTTCCGGCCGAGATCCCTGTTGCAGTGGAATTCATGCAGAAGTACCAGTTGGCGTTGCGGAAGGTGGGGAGGAAATCGAACTGTAAATTGACGCTCTGAAGCGGATATCTTCCAAAAGAGGGGCCGTGTTTTTTCTGGTGATCGGAATATGACAGGGTTGTTGCGGAGCACCCACTTGCCGTATAATTTTTCTTTTCCGCTTGCTTCTTCTTCTTTTTTTTTTTTTTTTTTGTGCCTTTCTTGTTTCCTCCACATTTTTTTTTTTTTGTTCTAATCCTCTTCTCATGTTTGCAGTTTCACGTGGCCCTGAAAGAAGCCGCTCCCTCCTCCGTGCACACATACAGACCCAATAATAATAATAATAACAAATAATGACTGCGGCTCTTAATCGCAAGTTTGATCTCTTGCAAAAAAGTGGGACGTGTCCTTCATACCTTCTCGACGTACTCACGCTGCTTGTGGCGCACGCCAACGAAACCGAGTTGTTTAAACAGGAACTGCGATCCGCACCGTTTGAAAACGCTGCTCCACCACTGCGCGCCGGTCGAGGGATGGTTGCGGCAGCAGCGCCTCAAGCAGAGATGAGGGCACAAACCGTGGCGCAACCAGAGGCTCCTGGTACCGAAAAGGGTGTTCTTCTTGCGGCAGAGAGGACTTTGCGTGCGTATGCGTCGGATTTAAGGAAGATAAACGATATTGCCATGGCGACAAGCTCCAAGAAGCTCCGGGAGATGAAAACTAGCAACTTCACGGAGATGGCGGCCTTTAGAGACCGTGTGGTGAGTGATGCGGTGGACCGGGCTCGTGAGGAGTTAGAATTGCTGCGTATGGGCTGGCTGGAGTCGATGAATACGGAGGTCGAGCGCGCCAAAATGGAGGTGCATAAAGTGGGCCTTTCTTCCCAAAAGGCACTGCACAAAATGTTGGAGGGATATCGTGATTACGTATCGGATGGGTTCCGGCTGCTAAAGACAGAGCCCTTAGAGGTCATGCACCGTGCGATGGCAGAGTGTGCATTTTGCGTCGAGCGCCTAAAAATTATGGAGCAACAAGTTGTACCCCGAATCGAAATAGATGCGCTCTGCGGGCGGCTTAAGAGCGTCGAACGTGTCATTGCCCAGATGTTGAAAAAAAGACATTCTTCTGGGGTTGTGGACGATGACATTTCTGCCGTGCCCACGGCAGGGCCGTCCGAGACTGGAGCATCCACTGCGGCAGCGGGAGACGACAGGCCGTTGGGATTGCGTCTGCGGGATGGTGGCGATGACGTGGAGGGTCTTATCGTCACGGAAGTGGCGCCAAATTCACTCGCATCGAAGGCCAGAATTAGCCCCGGCCACATCATTTCTCACGTGGGAGGCGCCCTTGTGACCCGACGAGATGATTTCACCACGGCAATGCAAAAGACTGGCTCGGCAGCGAAACTGACGGTATATGATCCGGAGACGGCGGTGGTGCGCATTTTGACCCTAAAACCATGAAAGGAGTACAAAAATGAATAAAGAAATAAAATACAAGAGTGTGGAGTCGATTTCTTGCGCGGCATGGTTATGTTCATGGATGGCCGTTTTTTTTTTTTTTTTCTCTTGCTGGAAACGAGTTTGGGCGCCATTTTTTGGAGTGCCTGTGTGTATGTGCATACAAATTGGCGGAAAGGAGAAGAGGGTACAAAGTGTGAGAGAAGAAAAGGAAAGTGTTGGCGGCGCCACAAATTTTTCCTTGCGGAGGGAACTCCTTGGGACGCTGCATGTTTTTGGATGCGACCTACCCATTATATTATTTTTATTTTATTTTTTTCGCACGTACATCCTCTTCCCCCCTCTTTTTTTTTTTTTGCTTCTGGAAAAGGGAGGCCGTCGGAAAAGGGAGATTTTATACATGGCACTTGCGAAGTCTGAAAAGTGGTGGAGCCTGGGGAGCAGGGAAGCCGGCTTGTATCCATGGGACGTGCGTCGGCTCGATCATGTCTTGAGGCAGGCAACGGCGCCGAAGGCCACATTTGAGAAAAAGCTTTGGTGCGTGAAGGTCATATTGCGTTGCATTGAGACGACAGTGTCCGAGGAGCAAGTTGAACTGCGACGAAACCGCCAACTTTTGTCGACGCTACGATATTTTCTTTTTCAGCCGATATCGACGTCTCTGGGCGCGAGGCTTCGCCAGCACACTCTTTCAGTGTATCTTCGTCTGCTCGGAGGGGATTTGGCCTTTGATGAGTTGCTTGTGATGGATGCTGGCACAATACGCGTTTTGGTAGCCGCGCTTGGCGACGATGAACATGCTGACTTGAATCATGTGGCGATATTGTTGGCGCGACGTATTTCGGAGCTTCCTCATGTGAGTTCCGTTCTTGTCTTCGAGGATTCCCTTTTTGAGGTGTTGCAAGACCTTTTAGAATTTCGACACGCGTCAACACAGGTGACAAAACATATTCTCCATCTCTTTGTCAACCTCTCTGGGCATCCCAGGCTTCATTTCAAACTTGCGAGGTCACGACGTCTTGTGTTCTTTGCGATTGAGACCATTCTCCTTGTACTGAACACGGATATTGTTGAACAGGCTTCAAGAAAAATGCACCGCGTGATGAAATCTGTTCCCTCACCTTTGGACGAGCCCCATGTAATTTCAACAAAGCGAAAAGCTTTACCCTTTGCTCCTGTGCTCTCTAAATACGTTGGATGTGCATTGAGGCACATGTCTACGGCTGTGCCTTGTGCAATGATTATAGCGAATCTCCTCTCATTTCCCGAGAATAGAGCATCAATTTTTTCTCTGTATCCGGATCTTGTGCGTGCACTGGAACTCTGTGACTCACAAAAAGTTTCAATCCGATTGTGGGAGGTGGCTCGCTGCGCGATAGATTACTTGCACGAAGATGAGGCGATGTTGGAGACGCAATTGCTGATGCACTTCGAATCTTCAACGGTGGACGATGCGACCGTTAAAGCCGGGAACTCTGCGTGACGTCTTATATCTTTAAATGTTGGGCCGATTTGTCTGTTGCTTCTCGTGTATTTTTATCGAAATTAATGGGTGGGTGCGTTGAACCCTCATGACATATTTCTGGTGGTGGTGTTGGTGGTGGGTATGTATGTTTCTTCAATGGCGCTGTTGTGTTGAGCAAGGGAGCTGTTCTATCGCTGTTGCCCGCTTTCTGTGTATATAAGACGAAAGGGGAGGAATAAAAACACAATCAAACACAAGAACGAACAGAACAAGGGAAGAAGAAGAGGAAGCACACATAGAGGGGAAAGGTGTGGGGTGGGGTGGAAAGATGAAGGCCTTAGACTTTGGAGTCGTCATGCAGGATCAACGTCTGGCCCCGCTTACTCAATTCATGGCAAGAATGGCGCTTGATGGGGAAATGTCGCCTTTTCACTGCGATGCGCTGATGATCTCGTCCTTGTACCGTGCCGCCTTGGCGCCCTTTTGCTGCGTTGAGGACGAGAGAGACTCTGCGTCAGTGTGCACCGCTGTTCTTCGCGACGTATTTGCTGGCGCTGAAGCCGCACTGGATGACACAGTGAAGTGTAGGGAACTGACGCCCGCTTTCATCACGCGGAGTAGTGACGGAAGTGGACTGCTCGCCGAGCGCCGCCTCATTCTTCGGCTGAGGAGCCAGAAACGTATGCTGCGCAGTGTTTCCTTGCGCACAGAGTCACACTAATGGGGGTAATTCTGTTTTTTTTTCTTTTTTTATATATTTTCGGGTGGGTCACGGGGTTGCAAATATTTTGACAGAAATGAATGGCAGAGCAGAAGCCACTAAAAATTATTTGAACACAATTCTTTTTTTTTTTTTTTCTTTTGTTTGCATTTAATCTGTTTTTCATTTCTGGGCATTGATTTTATTTTGCTGGACCCTTTTCCCTTTTTATTTGGAGCTTGTATTTTACTTTTGTTTGCACGCAATTGGCTGGTAAGGAATGACAGAAAAAGAAGAAGAGAGCATCGCGTCGAGGTCGGTCTCGAGCTCCTACTCGGATGACTCGTCGTATTCCTCCTCCACACGCAGCGACAACAGCAGCAGCGGCAGCGGCAGCGGCAGCTCCACGACGTCCTCCGAGGAAGGCGTGGAAACCCAGACGGGGGCTCGGCGTGCGCCAACGCGGCCTGCGGCTGGTGATTCGGCAACTTCCGCCACCACCGCCGCCACATCGACGCCGTGTTCCGGACTCCGCTCTCTGCAGCTGAACCCGGAACTTGTGTTTGAGCAGCCCGATGCCAGCTGGATTGACATACCACACGGTTCTGGTAGTGTTTTTCGTCGCGTCGTAACAAACTACGATGACTTTCCCGAGAGACGCTACCGTGTCGTTGACTACTTTCGCACCGCCGTAGAAATGTTCGTCACGCAGGTGCGCCAAGAATACACGCATCAGTATCTGCAGGCAAAAAAAAACGATCGAGCAAACATTCGCTTCATCTGGCGAAACAAGGGGGAATTAGCGATCTGCTTTGCGGCGTGCTGCGACATGCTTAAACTTCTCTACGATAGATTTCGCCCCGGGCTTGAAAGACCGAACTGGGATGGAATTGTAGGTCAGTTTGTTCTTTTTTTGATGGCTGAGTCCAGGATACCGGCCGCCGTTTTGACGGAACAGACGTACAAGACCAAATTTCTTGATTGGCGAAAGGGCGGAACCCGTTATCAGGGCGAGCAACTGACATCAAACGTCCGTTTTCCTTCTGCAGAGGAACGTCGCACAAAGATCGAGACCTACCTGCGCTCAGGGGAAGGTTACAGCATAGAATCAACAGGGGTGGAACTTCCGTCGGTGGTCCGTCCCGTCCCTACGCACGTGAAAATGGCAGATGCACCGGTTGGGCAGGAAGAGACGCAAAACAGCGGCGCACTCGATGGAAGTAATTTGGCTTCTCCCCTTGTTGGCTTTTCACGTGCCAGAGCCCCCGTAAAGATGCGAAGCAAATCACACATGAAACCCCCACAGGCAGTCATTGCTGGGAAACAATCTGCAGAAGAATACAGACATTTACATTGGCTTGCAAAGCTTACCCAAATCACTGGTTGCTCTCCAACACTTGAATTTCCGGCTGAGCGGTCTTACATGATACTGGCGTTTGTTCGACTTTGCGAAACA